AAGGTGTATCAGGATTCACAGACAGGTAGAAGTAGCCAGACAGCTAAAAAAAGGCATATGCTTCTAAAAGTATAGATATAGGTAATAACCTAAAATTTTCCCCCTCAGTTTCCCCAAAAACTGTTAAAGAAAAAAAACTTAAAGGGTCAACTCTATAGTCTTGACTGAAATTAGAAGTGTAGGAGGAGAAGGGACTCCACTCAAAGGCTGCAGGTTTTAATGCTTGGCAAGAAACTGGGAATTTCTAATTGCTGGCAGCATTTCAGAGGAAACATTTGCTTTGTTACTAAATTGCATGCATCTAGGGCACTAAAATTATCTACAACTATAATTCCTTTTTTTAACAGCTTCAAAAATATAGCTGCCATGCATTTTTCTATTAATAGTTTGCATTTGTGACTCACAAAGGTACAGTCAACATACTGATATTCATTTATGTAATAAACTCTCATCAAAACCAGTATTTTATGGACCTAATTGTACTGGAATTTTGTTCAGGTTTATGTCTTGCTTTAAAAAGGACAATATGATTAATAGCCTGGTGGCTTTCCACACAAGTTGTATTCTCTTTTCTTTTTATTTAAATCATATATCTTACTTCCTTCCCCTCTTCTTGCATTCCCAAATTGCTGGGCTCCTAGCAGCTGTAACTCAAACAGCCCTAATTTGATCCTAAATGTATCATTCTTATTCTGTGCCGTATGCTCTGGAGCTCTAGATGAGTTACACTTGCTGGACCAAATGTTAAAACTGTCTTTCCTGACTAGCACTGCTGAGAATTGCATTTATTAAGCCACTCTTACAGTCTGAAAAAATGTCTTTCATTCCTTTTACAGATATGCCTGTAATAACATTTCTAGTTTGAACTTATCACACTTTTTCTTCCTGCCTTTGAATAATTCAAAGAGCAGTTCTATATAGAAAGGCAGGACCTCTGGAGCTGCCCAGAACAGAACTAATATCTTGTGTAGTTTGCATGGGTTCTTGAAAAAACCAAACCAAACATGATCTGGCCACATCTTTTGTCCAGCACTCATGGATGCCTTGTGCTGCTAAACCAGGTAGAGCACCTGCTGGCTACTGAACAGTTTTGCTCATGTTCCCATGACTCTGGGAACATCTCAGTTCCAGATATCTCTACCTGCAGCTTTCCTGAGTTATGCTCACACCACGTGTTGAGATGTGAAGAAATTCACCTTGTTGAGTTTGCTCAGCCTGTAAGTTTGATTCCCACTTTTCTCCTTTGAAAATGTGTTGAGGTTTGGATGTCTGTCATTGAGGACTCAAATTCCCATGCTCAAAGCTAACCTGCAAAGGCTAATGAGGGGATGAAATATTTCCCTGAGTAGACCTCTGGGGACCCTGAACACAGAGATGTGGTCAGATTTGATGGTGATGGGCTTTTCACAGCCTGTGAAACAAAAGCATGTGGCTTCACTTATGTCTCGTTCAGAACTTCAACAGAAGGTGGCTGAAGTGTTTCTTGGCTGTATCATCCCTGCTACAGCAGCAACAGAAGCACTGAAAATGCCAAACATGGGGACCCAACCAACAAACAAGAGGAAGCCATCAATACAGGAAAGGCAAGGAACACCTCTTCTCTTCTGGAGAAACCTCACAGTGGTGAAGTCCTCTGTTTTGAAGGAGCAGCTGAGAGCAGCTTCAGTTAGAGTAGTCATGGTCTATTCATGTGTCATGTTACAGGCTGCAGGGAAGAAGAGCTGCAAGTACACTTTCTGTGTCTATTACCCAGGGAAATGTTCACATCTCCAATCATAGACTGGCAGTTCAGAATAAAAAGTATCCATGGACTTGGGAAGTCTTCCTCCATGAATTTGCTTACTTCTCCTAGGCATGTCTTTTCCATACCTCCTGTTGCCCTTAGGTCATTGCCTGAGCTCCCATGACATTCCTGTGTGAGGTCCAGAATCCCTACAGGATTGATTTTAATATCTTACCTTCTGAGCTGCTTCCTTCAGACCCTTTTGCTCTGTTCTAATCCATGTCCTGCAGAAATACAGGCATGTATGACAGGACATTAAAACACCCAAGAGGGAAGACAACAAAAATAGATTTTACTTTAATTTTTCCCTTTTTTCCCCCCTTCCAGTAGCATGGATAGAAACTATATGGAGCTGAACAGATATTTATAAAATTGGTAATTAACATGTAACATAACAAGTGGTTTAGAACTTATTTATCTCAAGCCAGCATTGGAGCTGGTACACCCTAGAAAGGGAAGACTGCAGCCATAGAAGGATTCACACTGATGTATTGAAAGGCAGAGAAATCACCAGATTCTGACTTCACAACCCCTCACTCTTCTCATTGCCTCACTGATGGCACTGAGCATGACCTGTGGTGATAACAAGGGAGAGGAGTCTGGAGTGAAGTTGAACCTTGAAAAGGGGAGGGGGTGTTTTTTCCCTAAGCATTCTAATGTTTGTCGTTTTTTACATTTCCCAATATCTAAATCTGTAATTAAATACTAATGCTAATTGCCAATAAATTAAGTTAAATTCCCCTACTCAAGTCTCTTTTGCCCATGACAGTGCATGAGAAGTGATTTCCCTGTCTTTATCATAGCCTAAAATTTTCTTGGTCCTCTTCTTCCTGGTTTTGCCCCCATCTTGCTGCTGTGGGAGTGAGTGAGTGAGTGAGTGAGTGAGTTATTTGGCTGTTGGCTGGGTTGGATCCACCACTGCAGGCAAGTGTGACAACCAAAGAATTGCCAGGAGAACAGAGCTTATTGAACTGTGTTTTCTGATGATTGGAGGCCATCTAAATGATAGCTAAAAAATTCCTTCATAACTAAATGCTGTATTTGTTATCTGAAACTCTGAAAATGGCAACTTTCAATATTTTTAAGATCACAGAATAGCTTGGGTTGCACAAGTTTAGTTAACTCAATTGCCTCCCCATTTCAGTAAAGCCTTGAACTATGGCCAAATGCTTCACTAAGAGAGGAAAATGTTTTGGTTAATTGGCTTCCCAAGGCATTTAACCTCAGAATTATGCCAAACTGGGGTATGTCAGAAGATGAAAGCATCTGGGACCCATTCTATTTCTTTCATGCTTTTCATTTTTCCCTCCCAGCAGCACTGTTCAGCACATACAGCTTCCAGCAATGTTCCAGCCATCCTCCTCACTCACTGGCCATGGCTGACACAGAGCTGACCCAAAGCTTTGTGGTTCCTCAAGAGACATGCAAATCAGCCAAGCCCCAAGGAAAGAAGTTTTCTGCATTTATCTCCTGTCCCTCCAGGTACATCGCATCCTGCCTCTGAGGCATGTGGGTCTCCTTGGATATTTTCTGACAAATCTTTCAAAAAGCCTCTGCAAGGCTCCCTGCTCCATCCCTGGCCAAAATCAGGGATGCACTAACACCACAAAGGATGCTGTGAATACAAACGTCACTCAGTGAGGCAGCAGCAGCCCAGTGACCATGCCAGGCTCCTCTACAAAATAATTTCAAGGGACCACCAAAGAGTTATATCCTGCCCTCTGACAAAACCAGGCCCAAAATGAAAGTTCCTCTCATGCCAGGGATGCCTTCAAGCACCCTGAAACCCTCACAAAAGAAAAGGGAGAGACCAGGTCTTCTGTGGCACCAAAATTCCAGCTTTACGTTTTCTTCAAAATCAGGAGCTTTTCATAAAAATGAAGCCCCCAAAAAACCTTTGTGCTGTAATAGCACTAACATAAAAGGGGCAGAGGTGGGACTATTGTATACTGATGAAATGTAAAGAAACAGTGATGTCCAAATCCCAGGGGAGAAAAAAAGGAAAGCTATGTCTTTTCTATGCTTTGACTGGACAAATTTTTCTTCTGGTCAATTGAACTATTTTGAAAAAATACATATGCCTTAAATCTGTGCTTTACACAAGTTTAAAACTATTTTGAAAACTATTTCCTAGACATTGAGTTCAACACCTGAGCCTAAGCAGGTGAAGTTGGCAGCAAAAAAACCACAATGAGCAATTTTTAATTAGCTTCAACTTAGTGGCCACAAACTAGACAAGAAGCAATTTCAGTGTTAGAGCTGAAGAATGAGGACTGACAGTGTATCTTTTGGAGTTAAAATGAAATATTGGATGTGGTTCATACATTTTTTGAGATGAAGTTTTTTAAAAAGATGACATTCAAACTGCAAGACTTTTTTATCCCAATACAATAAAAGATACACTTCTCTTCAGCTGCTCTGTTAAACTCTAAACACACATTTTCAAATTTGGGGGAAAATCCAAATGCAACGCTGAGGCTTCAGTATGGTTTCTTCTTCTTGCTAAACTAAAAATAGTAAATAAGAAATGCATCCTGACTTTAGCTGTCTACAACACTGTTCTTAAAAATATTCGTAATGACTGTCTGCTTCTGGATTTGAACAGAAAATTTGTCTCTGCCACTGGAAAATATCTGACTGGAAAATATCCTGCAGCACCTGTCACTTACATAGGTACCAGTTTGTTTCAGATGCACTGTACTGACGATGATTTTTTTTCTTATGGATTTTTCTTATATACACACATCCCCACGCAAATATATATGTGTGTGTATGTGTGTGTATATAAATATATATATATATGGTTAAAACTCAGTGCAGCCCCAAACCTGTCTCAGTGTTTCTTATGAGCCTCTCTGCATTTATCTCTAAGATTTGTGATTATCCTCACCTGAAGCTCCTCTATTTTCACCTCCCATTTCTGTTCCTGGCATGATTTGGCTGGCACCTCTGACACCTGATAAGCCAGCAGATCTGCTTCTGTATGTCCTTTCCGGATTCTTGGGACAACATTAATCTCACCTAACTTCAGATATCTAGAGCAGAGAGATTTATGCTGATCACTGCCAGCTCCCACTACAGTCAGTGAAGAGAACCAGTCCCTTCTAGAGACCCACCCCTCTGGCTGTCCATGTGCCCCTAACTTCCACTGACAAGGCAGAGAGCCCCGGCTCAGGTGACCTGGTTCAGATGCAAACATCCAAACTGGAGAGGTAAATTCCACTGTCTGTTTTAGATTTTTATTAATTCCCTGCTATTAATATGCTCAAGATCACAAAAATGTACATTTTCACAAGTTAGCACTTTCAGCTGGAACACTTTTGTATTCCTAAACACAAATAATATGCAAATCATTAAAAAGCCCACTACAAAAATACATACTTATTTATGGTATGTCTGTTTGTTCCAAAACAAGAATAAAATATAGACAAGTTTATTGATAACTGTCAATGTTACTGTTGATGCAAAATAGATAATAATACTCTACACTTAAGTATTATAACTTTTCCCCATGCAGAGCAGAACCAAATCTAAAATAAGAAAATTATTTCATTCAGTGAGAAAACTTTCTTTTAATAAATAAAAGTACTTGCTATGCAGGTTTTGATGAGATGAAGTTATTACAGCTATAAAGCCTTCTTAATTAAAATCTACAAATCATTTAACAAAACTGAACTCAAACTTTCAGAAAACAAAACAGCTACAATAGAGAACTCAGGTGTTTGTATTTATAAATATAAATATATACACATACACACAAATAAAAGGAGCATAAGGGATAAAATAGCTTTTCTTTACACAAAGGAACTGAGCACACTCCACTAACTCCAAGCATTACCATGAAGATACTTCATGCAGCTGGCTTTGGCTCCTGCAGGCCCTGTTCCCATTTCTGCTATGGGCTTGCATTTTATCCTGCAGGTTTAATAAAACAAATCTTCCTGTCCCTCTATATCTCTAGGATAAGGAAAGGAGAGGCTTTGTTTCTTAATAAATCCCACCCTCTTCAATATAACCATTAGCCTGTGGCATTGTAAGCTTTTCACAAATATTTTGTGAGATCTAATACTTCTTCAAGTTAAAGACCCTTATTTTGAAATAATCAAAACACATTGATTCTTTTAGAAAACAGAACGGAGCAAAATGTTCCATGTAGGAGGGTAAATCTCATTTACTCGTCCTGGACAGACTTCTTCAAACACAGAGGTCTAAATTAAATATATCAATCTTAGGCAAGGAGATTAATACATAATCAGAGGATAAAATATATATGCAACACTGCTGAATTCATATAATGCATTAAAAAAATAATATTTTCTGAAAACGCAGTGTTTTGACTTGTATTCCATGCACAGCTTTGTCAGATGAATTGCAAAGGAAATCGTAGCAGGTAATGTTGAAATCAGCCCCTAAAGGATTTACAAGTTGACCAAAGCCATACACAGCCACTGGCTGTGGCTCTGTAGGGTGTTACCTATTAACGCTGCCCTTTTTAACTTGGAGAAAGCAATGTACTTTCCTCACTTACACAGAACATCTTCCATTCATCTGGCACAGTATTCCTAGGTGCTGATTCTTCCCCCTGTGTAACTTTTGAATATCTCTTCTCCTTCAGGGAGCACCACTGGGTGCAGACAGCTCCGTTTACCATGTCTGAACTTAAGAGCAACCTGCTGCTGCTTGCTGTGCCCATCCCTGGAGAGAGGTGCTCCAGCAACAAGGGAATCCAAGTGGATTTCAAGCAGCCATGCAGAGACCCCAGTTTATCTCCTCCCATCCAATGCAAGCTAAATAGCATGGAATATAAACTGTGGGATCCTGGGATTTCCCTCCTCTGTGAGTCATCCTACCCAGCTAGAAACAGTCAGGAGTAGGGAAAGGTAGTCATTGCTTTAGGCACTTGAGTTTAACCCATCCATGGATGTCAGAGTAAACCCTTAGGCTAGCAATGGAAAACCCAGCATAACCTTTGCCTTTGTTGTCAGGCAGTCCAATTTTTTTTGTCTGACAGCCCTCAAACATCACATTTTTTTGCCCCAGACAATATAGCAATATATATATATTTTTTATGGTTTTTATGGCTGACTGATGGTGAACTGAGCTGCAATGGGAAAGCAAAATGTTTACACAATAAACCCATAAACCATTTTGTAATCATTAATGAGCATTCTTAAGATTTTACTGCTGCTGATTAGAAACCTAATTCACTGGAACTGGTCATTCACTATACTATACAAAGGAAAAAAAACAACTTCACTGGTCCTTCACGTTCTGAAAAGGGGGATGTGATAGTAGTGGTCATCCTCAGTCAGAAGAGAAATCTCATTCCATTCCCTTCGGTATTCATCTGGATACTTTACTTGAAATTCCTCTGTATTAAACCTATGCAGTCTGTAAACTCGTATCTTTACTTCAAGTAAGTATCCAAGAAGAAACAGGTCAACCTAAAAATGAAAGAAATCTGTAAGACATTTATTTCTAGGCTTCAAAAACTAAGCTGAAGATAATGCAAGTTAAGGCAAGTAATTTAGCGTCAAAACAGTAGACAAAGAATAAAAAGGGCCCTTTTCCTAGTGGAGTCAAAACATTAAAAGCTTGAGGGCATTCCCAACAGCCCTTCCACTTCTCTTTTGCATGTAGAAACATTCGTCCTCTGCCTGACACCATACAAAACCTGTTCCCAAGCCAGCTCACACAGCTGACTGGAGAGCAAGAAGGGAATAGCTGTTACCAACACTGATACACCCTGAAAAAATGGGAAGCCTGCCACCTTGTGATCACTTGCTACATATGGAAAACATTACAGTGAAAGCAAAAAGTTTCTTGGTACTTCACATATCTGAAACTGGAGAACTGGCATCTTCATTGATACTTCTTGCAATGGATTGCCTAATCAGGAAAAAAAAAAGGTTTGGGAAAAGTTCATATCCTTGGGCATAGCCAGAAAGAGCAGAACTTTGTCCAGTTATAATCAAACTGCTCCTAAATCTGACTGCATCACGTAACAATTGACTTGATAACTGAAACTGATTGTAAAAAATAATTTCAGCCATCGGAAAGTGAAACCATTTGCAGAGTGGCAGTGCAGAGTTTATACGTCAGCACTGAACTTCTCATTAATTATAAAACAGGAAACAAAAACATTAACATATAGAGGTGATTAGTAGAGGTCTTATTACCTACTCTCAATAGACATTAGATCTCATGAGAACCAAAGGGTGGGAAGAAAAGAGTGATGCTACAGGATTTGGCATAGTGGAACAGACAGGAAAAGCAAAACTACTGGTCAAAACAGCATCATCTAAAACTATTTTACATATCAAAGTTATTATTGCTCTAAACTATGTCCTATTAATAACATGTAGCATTTATTTTTGGTGCACTCTTACTGCAGGTTTGTTTTTTTTTTTCCTGGAAGATAAATGGTTATCCTCAGTTCACTTCCCCACATATCAAAGAAAAAAAATGGGCCAGCTATCAGGGATGATGTAGAATATAATCACCTAATCACTACAAAGATGGAGTAAGTTTTGTGATTTTTCATCTATATCCTCACCTGGTCTAAGCAAATAGAGTCACCTATGGAGTTCAGATGATTCATCATGAAACTCAGAGGGTCAGACGAAGAGTCACGAGCAAAGAGAAGGCTAAAAAGGTTGTGCACGGGTTTGTCCCTGCTCTTTATCTGCTCATAGGCTTCGACAACTTCATAGAGCATGATGAATTTTATGGCCTCATAAAGTTTGTATTCCTTGCTTTCATCAGAAAATAGTGTATTACACATGCTTCCTCTTTCTTCATGATCTCTTGTAGCACTTATTTCAGCCCACTGGAAAGCACACAAAAGAAGAATATTAGCAAAATTATTAAGAATTCTATTTAACACAAAAGATTGCAAAACAGGAACAAAAGCTGGTCTAAGAGTAAAGCAGCTATTAATTGACAGAGCCCAGGCACAACAGCATTTGCAGGCAGCAGCCCCCAGTCTGATCAAGGCCAATGGTTTGAGGTACAACAAGGCCAAGTGCTGGGCCCTGCCTGGGTGACAACAACCCCAGGCTGTGCTACAGGCTGGGGGCAGAGTGGCTGGAAAGTGGCTCAGAGGAAAAGAGTGGAAAAGTGGGAGTGCCAGGTGCCCAAGAAGGCCAAGGGCATCCTTGTCTGTACCAGCAATAGTGTGGCCAGCAGGAGCAGGGCAGTGATTGTCCCCCCACACTCAGGGGAGGGGGGTGAGGGCACACCTCAAATCCTGTGCTCACTTTTTGTCCCTGTCTATGAGAAGGACATTGAGGTGCTGGAGTATGTCCAGAGAAGGGCAGTGGAGCTGGTGAAGGGTCTGGAGCACAAGTCTGATGAGGAGCAGCTGAGGGAGCTGGGGGTGTTTAGTCTGGAGAAAACAAGGCTGAAGGGGAAATCTTATCACACTCTACAACTACCTAGAAGGAAGGTGTAGCCAGGTGAGGGGTTGGTCTTTTCTCCCAGCTAACATGTCATAGAACAAGAGGAAAAGGCCTGAAGTTTTGCCAGGGGAGATTTTCATTGGACATTGGGAGAAAATTCTTCATCAAAAGTGTTGTCAAGCATTGGAACAGGCAGTCCAGGGAAGTGGTTGAGTCACTGTCCCTGGAGATATTCAAAAGTACAAATGTAGCACTTGTAGACACGGTTCAGTGCTGGGTTAATGGTTGGACTTAATGATCTTAAAGGTCTTTTCCAAACTAAATGATTCTATGATGATGGAGGTGGGAAAGGCAGCAAAGAACCATGTTAGTAAAAATAGGCAAAAATCCATCTCACTGGCCAAACACCATCTTTACTAAAAAAAAAAAAAAAACGAAGCTGGGAGCTATACCTCATGGCCAGTAATAGCATAAGGCATCACAGAGTTGCTTTGAAACAATTTGTTAATTGTAAGGGATTTATTCATTCTTTTAACTTGAAACTTTTTTCTTAAAAATGCAGATTAAATGCTTCATGCACTAACATCAGCTAAAAGAACTATAACAAGCTAAAAATGAAAGCCAAATAACCCAACACTGGGAAATGCAAAGAGCAACCAGAACAAAATGGTAACTGCACATAACAACTACCAGGCCCATCTCAAGAAGATGCAGCTGTCACTTGGCACAGCAAGGGTGCAGGCAAGGGACCAAATCATCTATCTTAATCCCCTCTTTTTCTTTCTCATGCTTTGTTTCTAGAGCTTAAATTAGTCTGTTTGGGGTTTTGTTTTGGTTTTTTTTTTCTTTAAATTAACAACTACTATCACTGCAGACGCTCAGAAAACCCAGAGGAACTCAAGAAATGTGCAAGGTCTTGACAGGCCAACCCTATCTCTCTTTCAGAAGGCTTTGGGGCTACTAAATCTCCCCACATTTTAAATATTAATTATATTAAATAAGAACACTATATTATAATTCTTACATTAAATAAAAATTATAGTCCTGGGTTGGGGATGATGGCAATCTGGTAATGCTAAGCAGAAGGAGCAGTGAGGCTGACAGGTCTTTGCAATCAAGTGCAAGCTTACAGAGAGAAATTATAGCGAAAATGGATAATTAAAACATTTAATGGGGATAGAAGCAAAGAGAATACAATCATTTTAGGAGAAAATGCACTGTTTGTTTGCTCCTTTCCAGCTGGAGAGGGAATCTAGAAGCATCTCATACACCATGTTTACTTTTAATCAAAATGATGAGATACTTCAGGAGCCACTTGATGGCAAGGACTAGCTGTGAGGATGGTGGCCTCCCTAACTTGCAGGGAACTCCTGAATACCTGGCCTAGTGAATCACCAAAACCTGGATTCCCCTGCAGGAGAGGTGATGGCCTTCCCAGCAACTCAGCAGTGTGAACCTGGGAGGGAGGCTGGATACTCCACAAATATGTAACCAGGAGAAGTTCCTTAATTCTGTCTGGACCCATTTCTCAAGGCTTTTATCCCTCCCAACCATTTCCTAGATACTCACGTTTGTCTTTAAGGCCTCCATACATTTGCGCAGCTTCCCAAAGGCATTGGGACCTGTGTATCTTTCTGGCCCAAAACTGTATTGCTGAATCCAGTTACAACCTTGAGAATACAAAAGCTTTTCAGGGAGCTGGGAAAAAAACAAAAGGCAAGCTACTCATAACCATAACAAGAAGCAGAGTATAAGGTTATATAAACTTGTCTACATACAATTTACGATGTGGTTCTATCAGCTGTTTGTTCAATTCAAACAACAAAATAAATGGACTTTACAATTCAAATGCTACAAAGGAAGATCCACTTAACTGCCAAGTCCTTAAGAAACTTTTAAAACAGGGCCAGCCAAAAAAAAAAAAGATGAAAATATGCTTTGAGCAAAATATATAACCCACACTCTGGAAAAGCTGGCTACTTCCAAATTCAGTGAGGTATTTAGGAATACAGACATCTTCCAATCTGCACACACATCTCTACAGGCAAAAGCTATAGATCTCACCTCCCTGTTACTATCTCCTGATAAAGCTCCTGGAGCTCAGGGCAGGATACCTACCTGCTACTCCAGCAACACAGCAGCTCCCAAGTGAGCCACTGAACTTTGCATGGATGTGGATGGGGAGGATGCAAATAACTTGTGTTAAGGGAGTGACATGTAGCAGGGTAGCAGTAACATTCATCCATCCACTTTTACTTTTTGTTTTTTAACATCATTTAGACTCATGTTCACATTGGTATATTTAGATCAGGGAGTTTTTGCAATTAAATGTAGTTCAATGGGTTTGAAAAACTTCTGTTTGAATTCTGATAATGAGTCTCCATTTTGACAGCCAGCATACCACTTTTCACATTGAACACAGCTTCCTTCTGCTGCGCATGGATAGCTAAAATGTGTTAATTTAGGAAATGAATTTTACCTTCAATATATCTCTTTCCTTCATCCACGAAGGAAAAGGAATGCCTTGGCTGAATATCTGAAAAAGCACCGCTCTTATTACACTGTAGTTGTCCCTCCTGACTTGTCTCAGGTATTTGATATGACAGCTCCTAAACAATTCTTCATATGCCTAGAAACAGACCAAGAAAAATTAGCAATGAAAATATTGAACCTTGGAAAAAAACCCATGTTATTTGAAGTCCAATTCCAAACTACTCATAAGAGGGAGCTAGGGGAACAAGAGAGTATATTTTTAAGATTTATATACGCAGAAATGTTAAACATCATGTTTTTGTAAACACCTTAGAATGGCGCTGCCCATTAGGAGCAATTCTGCATTCCTTCCAAACACAGCAACTCGTTCAAGTCTCTGCACTGTTGCTACTGTAAACAATCACGCAGTTAACCAAATTAGAGCAGATCAGCACAGATTTAACCTCAACCATTTTAACAATTTGCACTGACATGTGAGATGTAGCAGCAACAGGACAGGAACGAGTATATGGAGAAAACTCCTTTTGGCAAAAACCATCTCCTTACATTGACCTGAATCCATTGTGCAACACTGACCTGAGGCAGATCTGGCAGCTCTGTGCTGAAGTGGACAGCCCTTGGTCCAGCTACACACTCTGCATTACCACTGGCTGCCATCTGAGCCCTTGCTGAGACAATTCTGAGCAATAGACTTGCAGAGAATTGGAGGGAGAGGACTGTACAAGTCCCACAGGCTGCTCCATCACTTCCAGTTTGCCTCCTGAAGGGGGCAGCAGGACGGTCTCAATTCCTCATCCTTGGTTTATCTTGGTTACTCCCTCACTCCATCCCACCACCACTTCTCAGCTGCACTCTGTCCCCTTACCCTTACTGAGATAGTAAGCCTATTAAACTCTTTCTGCTGAGGGAGTTTCCTGCTGCTTCAGCAAGCTTGAGAGCCTCAGAGAAGCCTCTTTCTAGATGACCTCCCTTATCAGCTCACCATCTAGGTGTACCACATCCAAAAGAGGACAGGAGCCAGCTAAAAAGAGAAGAAGGACTGCTTAGCTAGGACAAGGAGAGAAAGAGGGAGAGACAAGACAAACATGGGATTGTTCCTTTTGGGAACAAGCAAGCATGATATGCTGGATCTCACAAGACCTAATCCTAAAATGTGCTCCTTACCATGGCAACTTCGACATGATGCAACCACTGACTGCTCCATACACAGGAGTCTCCTTTTCAGGTCTGGTCATCCAGAAGGCTGATAGATTTTCTAAAAGGCTTTTTGCCCAGTATGGGCTTGCAAATTTATTAGAAGTTTTGCTATCTTTTGTTACTTGCTCCTCCAAATAGTTTTTGCCCTTGTGTGTTGTTCTGTGAACTCTTGGCACTGCTGTGTTCCTGCATTTACTGTGGCAAAACTGTATCTTTTCTCTGTTCATCACTTAAATGCAATTCCAATTTTTGAAAACTGTCTTTTTTTTTCTACAATGCCTTTATGCTACTGTTTATCCTTACCAGCTTCTTTTCACCCTTTGAGTCCTTCTTAGTATGCATTTGCTCTGAATTCCGATACCATGACCAAAAGCCAATACATGACTATTATTGGCAAATACACCAGTGCAGTTGAACTGCCTGTCTTGCCAGCAGTGCCCTGAGAAGGGGAAGAGGAGACACTGGCACAGAAGCACCTGGGCTGGGGTGCAGAGCTGGAGCAGAAGGACTGTGCTCAAAGGCATGGGATAGCCACCATCCAGCACCCCAGCCCCCTGCCTGCTGGGCAGCACCCAAGCTGGCACAGGTTAGATGCCAGCTCCTGCCCTGCCTGCCACCAGCTGCTGGAGAGGGGAAGGCTGCCAAGCATGGACCGTCAGAGCTTGGAAGAGAAATGGATGTGGTGCTTCCTTCCTCCCTGGAGTAAGAGTTTTTACCTTAAATCAAAGGCTGGCCAAGTAACAGTGCCTAAGATCACATTATTTGGGCTTTAGCACTGGGGATGATTTTTCCTGTCAAGGTTGCTGGTGCTAGAAGAGGGAATTTAGAATAAATACAAGACTAAAACCTGATCTACATTTTGACCTGCACTGCTGCATTCCTTATTTAGACCTATGTTTGTGCTGTCCCTTTTGCTTTTCATTTCACTAGCCAGTGCAGCAGGCATTCATGGCTACTGCAGCTGTTTGTGCTGAGAGTGCTACTCCTTTCCCAGGTGCTGGTTCTCCCCTGTCCTCGTGCAGAGATTAAAATTTAACTCTTACCTCCCTCATCTGTTTGGCCTGCTTTGTTTCTCCTTTCCATTCTCTTGCACTATAACCAAGTAGATCAACTTCTGGCAGCACACTGAGATTCCCTAAATTGAGATTGATTTACAGATTAGTTATGTTCTGCTGTTCTGCATCTAAAGGGAAGTTGTGAGGGTCATTAATGAATGTGGAGTGACAACAAAAAGCTTACTTATGAGTTGCCTCTGAAGGTAGTTGCTCCACCTGAAACACAAATGATGGAACAGGCGTCAACGAGGAGGTGTTGAAGGTCAGTATTTACTGAAATAAGCAACAGTGTGGAAGATTAAAGTCTGCATAATAAAAACCTACCGTTTCAGCAGCTGTGCTAAAAAGCTGTAGAGCCTTCTACAATACCAAAAAAGAGCAGTGAGGAAGGACATGCTTAACATTAGCTGCACTTTCACTTTTTGCCACATGAGACACAGGGATTCCTTGCTGGCTGTTTTCCAGGACCACACCTCATGCCTTCCTAAAATAGGGATGAAAAGAGAGAGGGAAAAATCACTATTTTGAAGTACTTGTTTCTGTTTGTTTTCTTGCAAAAAGAAAGATCATCCAAATATGACATCACTTCAAATGAAACACAAAACATGACATGCAAAAGATTTATATATTTTACTTAATACTTAAAATTTTCAAGTTTCTAAGGGCTTGGGGGCACATAGTTCACATTTCCACAGTATCCTGCACACAGTGAAGGCTACATACATAGTTACAATGGAATCACAGGAAGACTGGTATCAAACACACTACTCAATAACAAAAAAACCCCAAACCTGTTTTGTTTTTTTACTTCAGGATGTGCTGATCTAGAGACCTGTACTGTCATTATTTTGTCTCTCAGTCTTGGCTTTAAATACATGACTTTAAAGGTTCGTAGCACTTACTTGTAGTCAACAAATGGGCCATATAAGGCAATATTAGCTGACTAAGCATCATATGACTGCTTGGGGAATTAAAGGAATGTTCCTGCCTCAATTTGGGTAAGTTTAAAGTCAATTTAAAACTCCAGAGAAAGATCCTCCCAGGGATTTGGTAGAAAGCTCAGGAGATCATCACAGAGAGGCTTCATGCTTACTTCACAGACATAAACAAGGACAAGATTCTGTTGCTCCCCTGGCATTACAGACAAGGTTAGGGAAGGTTATGGTTGTCTACTGTTGATAAGAAGACCTACAAGTGAAAGAGGGCCTGGAGACCAAACAGTTGACAAAGGCAGCAGCTGCTCCCTAAATAAGAAATTTGTCCCCTGGAAGAAATTGGAATATAGGAAATTCCCAGAGCTCATGGTGAACAGCTGCTCTGTTATTAACTTATTTATTGATTTAGTACAAAACCTTAAAAGACTTCCACTTTTTATAGAGGCATCCACAGAGAAGGCTGAAAAGATCCTTCTCCAGGGAGTCTACAGAGGGGATTACTCATTCCACATAGTTTTATGTCAGCTGAACTTCTGCCCCTCCTGGCTTTAACAGGAAATTTAAGACAGGCTTAAGTTTTCCAAGTAAATTAAGCCCATGCACTGTGGACAACAATCCAGTCAAAGAGTTACGTATCAATTCTAACCTTAGCAACAAGATAAACAGTGATGCACTCATTTTTACAAGCACTGTTGCATATATACACAGAGCAGCGCTGATACTTGGCCTTTCCCAATATTCTGTTGTTTGAAGAAGTTTTATTACAAGATTTTGTATGCCAGTCATCTGGTGGTGAGACACAGACGTTGTCTCTCACCTGTGAACTAAAGGCAGGTTAAGAGCTGTAAATGAAAAGGTGTCCATAAATTTTAAGTAATCAGAGGTGGGGTTGGGGTGCTAGTTCTGAAGCTCCAGAAAACTCCAGTTTATTACTGATGCCAAGTAACAGACAACAAAACATCAGCTGTAAGGTTTGGAAATGGAAAACTTCATAGAAAAACCAGACACACCCACTTACAGCTCACACGCACATATAAACACACTCCCACTTCCTCCTGAGGGACACTGGTAGGCACATTCTCAATAAGCACACAAACTTCTACCTAGAGAAATGACAATCCCAGCAGAATCAAGCAACTGCAATTTTTTCTCTCTCCTCTTTTAAGATAAAGGCATCAGCATTGGAAAAAAAACTCAGTGGACTTTGAATAACTGAATCTTCTGCCCACTAGAATGGAACTTGATGGCTCACAGTTGTTCAGCCCATGGATCAGTATCAGCCCAGGGTATTCTGGATTTACACTGTTGTATGCAAACCAATGATGATTGAAATTAACACCAGTTTAAATATACAATATCAAAGGAAAGTTGCAGCAGACTTTAATTCCATTACGTAAAAGGACTGTACGGTCCACTCCCACATTTGATTTTGAACAAACTGACTCTATAAAAAAATCAAGAGCTGTTCCATCTGTTAAAATTACATACTTTGCATTATGGAGAACAAAGAAATACATGTGAATGCAAAATTTCTTCCCTTATCCCTTTTAACAGGCAGAAAGATGACAGCTCCACATCAGTTTTTAAACTGAATCAAGCAATCTTTTGAAAAAGTTTTTGATGGTAATAATCCTGAAAAAACCTCAGGCTACTGGAGTTCAGCAATCTCTCTTTCAATGCCTATGGAGCAACTGCTCTTCAAGGAGTGCTGGGAAGCACAGGGTTACTGGTTTCCATCAGAAACACGAATCAGTGTCAGAGAACATGAGATAACCAAATAACGCTCGCCCGTTTTTATTCAACATGGGTATTTCCCTAGAAGAAAGCCTAATGGACAATGGAAAAACCTGCAAACAAGTGATTTTGAGTATTTTTGCTACACTTGTATTGCAGCATACCTTGGACTTCATGAACTTTCCCTCCTGTCATGGGAAAGCTGCTGTTTAAACAGCACTCTGTGATTCAGTTAATACTTTCAGTGCTTATGTCACACTTAGAAATTAATTACATTTTTTATTCAAGCAAATGACATTTAGAAGTAGCAGTTGGATCACAAAGTGCTGCGGGTAAAAATACATCATAAGCATAAATTAAAGAAGGCAGCAGCTTAAAATAGATCTTGCCACCCCCCTCCCTGCACCTTTCAGAAGTCTTCAGAAACCAACGAGCAATTAAATTAATAACACATTAGTGGGGGGAGTAAAATAAACCCACAGATTTTTAAATGAAATCCATTCCCTGGGATATGGGAACAATTCATCCTGCTCCTCAGGAGGCAGTGACAGGAGCAGTTGGTGCTGTGACCAGCTGCTGGGCTTCCATCTTCTTGAAGACTGACTGCGAGTGTCAGCATGACAGGGAGGCCTGACTCTTCTGCCATGCAGAAATTTGGAAGAACAGAGGCTGAAGAGTGCTGGAGTTGATCAGGAGCTGATAGCAGTGTTTATCTTACAGAGCAAGTAGTTCACCATGTTTTCTTTTCATGCCACATCAGCTTCCTGCTAGTGCCAAGCCTTAAGTTTTTACCCCCTGCAAAGTCAGCAGTAGAGACATGCAGAAGGAAAAAAACAACAAAAAAGGCCAAAGAAAAAAAGATAAGTAAGAAGCATCTGTTTCATTCTCAAGAAACTCAGGAAGAATCTCTATAGTTGTGACTCACTCACAACTCCTTTGGAGGTGGCCTCCTTAATTATGCATAATTGATGAAATGCAAAATGTCAGAGATCAGCTTGGGAACTAGCAGGCAGCACTGTATGCATTACTGAATATCCCAGCATGGCTGACGGTGCAATTGCCCTTTACTGTTTTTCTCCATACCATTAACAAGGCCATCAAAAAGATAGCAGAGCATCTTCCCAAATTAAAACCTGACAGAATGATTTCTTTTTGGTACTGAAAGCAGGACATAGCACTTGTCACCATGAAGTGGCCAGGTTTCATACTCTCATCACACAAAATTATGTTCCCAGTTCCCAAAAAGCAGGTATACCCTCATTCAAAGAGGGAGGCAGAATGTGGGATGCCTCTGTGCCAGCCCTTCTGCTGCCCCACCTGAGCCACTCCTTCTCCCTCCTCTGTTGGGTGCAGAGCTAGGAAGGGAGACCCTCAACTGAGACATGTAAGGCTTGGCAGGGAGGCCCAAGTCTGCCTGTGTTCAAGGTGTGCATGCAGTTCTCTCACGTTGCTGCACATTGCTGATTTTCAGATTTTACACCATCAGCACCAAAGTATGTTACAGAAAAGGCTAAGTCCCTCTTTTAAGGGAAACAAAGAAACTTACCCTCATAGAGCAGGCTCAAGCATGAGACACATGTGTACATAGACCTCAACTGAATGAACCAAGAGGGAGACACAGAAAAGTTATTAATTATACAAATTCAAAACCTACAAAAGATTACATCACATTAGAGTTTAGAAGAGAGAAATATGCCTTTTTAAGTGGTGCCAAGGGATTACAAATTCTTTGATTTCCCAGTTTATTATCAGCACCACACAAAAAAAAAAAATACTGAAAACAGATCAAACATACCAAGATATGTGAGAAGCACTGCTTAATTCAGTAACTATTCCATTACAAACCCCTTCCTTTACAGAATAAAGCAATGTCATCTTGTTAAGCAACATTCACGTGCTCTAACAAACATGAAAGATGAGGATCTCTCCTTGATATAATAAGGAAAAGAAAATAATTTACAGACAAAGATTGTAATCGTCAATGACTTATCACAAGTTCAACCATGTCTGCTGATCAGATACCTTCTAATCAAAAAAACCAAAAAACTAATGAGAATGCCAGCCCCAAACCACAAGTAGAATCACACAATTATCTAGAAAAGAGAATAGTTTTGGTAACACTGAGGCCCATCAGTTGCAAGAAAGGTTTTATTTACACAAATCTTCTGCATAGGGCTTTCCCAAGAGCCCTCTTAGCTCCCTCAGTCTTTTTTTTTTTTTTCAGAAAAATATAGAGAATATAGAGCTGGCAGCCTTCTTCAGACTCCCTGATCATCAACAGGAACTGCTGGTGTTAATGTATCTATCCAGTTGCGACACAACTTATTGCTACTGTGCAGCAACAGCCATAATGTGTTCTTACCTACTGGGTGATCACCTAAAATATACCCAACTAGAATTACAAAACCAATTTCAGCTATATAATCAAGATATTAATGCATGCCTTAGCCTGCACATACCATTTTCTCTCTACAAATGCCTATGAGAACAAAAGGAAAGTTCAGTTCTTCATTTCCTGTACAATTCAGCTTCCTTTTTAAGGCACAGGGTGCTTCATCCAAGATGAATAATGCTTAGCCCCACTTCCATTTAAGTAAGAAAAAGCATGACAGAAGCCTTCTGAGAATTTGCAGTCCAGAATACTGGATGAGAAACACATGAAAAGCATTTCATGCCATTAAAAAAACATGTATCTCTCTAAAACTCTTATTCCTATTTTAAAAAAATTAAAAAAAAAAAAAACACCTCCTTTTAAAGAAGGAGCCTATGAAATATCTGCTGGTTTTTTCTTAATGTGGAAAAAAATCTGTTCCCA